CCTCTCTTTGAGACTAATGTCCTCGTCAAAACTAAAGAATGTGTATAAGCTCAATAATTCAACAACGACAATAACTAACGACTTGTAGTTTTCAGCAATCAAGAGAGCAAGACTCTAGACGCCTTTTGTCTGATACTTGATACGACAAGATTATTTTAAAACCCATCATTTTCGCAAAATATTCAAAATAAACTGCATGAAAACAGTGGTTCGTTTCAAAAAAATTTTGATAAGAAGTCATAAAATTTGCTAAAAATCAATCGAATTCTATAAAATTTGATGGAATAGATAGTCGATCTTCTTTGCTCAGTATCGGGATATAAGAAGATAATTACCTGAATTGTTCCTTCAGCTATAGATTCGAAATTCTCCTATCAGAAGCACATGTCAAAATTAAAATTTCGTTGAAACGAACCACTGTTTTCATGAATTTCATTTTGAATATTTTGCGAAAATGATGAATTTTAAAATAATTCTGCTTTATATAATATCAGACAAAAAGGTGTCCAGAGTTTTTCTGATTCTATTGATAAAAACTGCAGATCATTAGCTATTTCCACTACCAAGCTATTGAGCTTACACTCATCCCTGTTTAATTCTACCACGGACGTTAGTCTTTTTAATTCGATCTGAAACGTTTTGAAAATAAGTTCACGTGATAGAACAAACGTCTGTCAGCAAAAAGTGACATTCCCGAGCTCTCTACGGCATTATTTCAATAAACCGCACTAGATTTACTACGGTCACGAAAGCCTTTTATCCATTGTTTTTTCAAAAAAATTCCTATATTTTGCATCTCAAGATCTGTCATTAATTGAGTGCAGTTTGATGTAAAAAAAGTCATAGAAAGTGCAGTAACATCTCATTTTGCTCAACAACATTTGTCGTATCAGGTCAATCTATTTATATACGTTTCAGATCGAATTCACAGAGTCATTTTTAGGAGAGTTCCTAGTGTTGCTGAATAATAGCCAATCAACTTCCAATTCAAAGTTTAGATCAAATGACCAAAAGAAATGATCTACTCTGACTGTTCAAATCCTGAAACAAAGCTGTTCGAAAAAATTTTGTGGTGTTTTTGGAATGGCGTTTCAGTAACAGAACGAAGGACTTCTTTGATACCCGGAAGTGGTATTTCTAAGAATAGAACAAAATTGTTCAGACAGATCCATGAACATTTTCAGCAGTTCGTCATATCTGAACTCATCGAACTCTCTTGCTGAACAACTTTTCCAAATAAATTTTCATAAAAACGGAAAAACCTCTTCTGATAGAAAGTTCTTTCAGTTACTCAAATCTTTTTTCCGATTCCTTCTACCTATTACCGCTAAGAATATATCTCAAAAATAAAAATGTGTTAAACATTTCGCCCTTACTGTATTTCATCGTATAAATGTCTTATCTTATTTTCTTCCTTCTCCCAAGGGAACCTTCCCAGGTGCTAAAAAGCTTTTCAGTTGAAACTTTATTCACAAGTAGAAAATGTATAGATTAGAAAATGCCTAGTAGGATTTGCCTGTGATACCGAAATTTTATTATAAATTTCCAGCAGGATCCTATTTTTGCGGTAGAATCAAAGCTTCGAATTTTGATCTGAAATTCTTTCCACATCAAGAACTTAATCAGACAAGCTTGCCTACAAAGTTTTATTTATTTTTTTGGACGAACTATCTCCAATATACCAGTATATTAGCATAAAGACCCTTTTTTTTTGTATGCATATTGTGTTATGCATGGATTTCTGGAAAATTCATATTTTGAAAATCATTTATACAAAAATTCTAAAACTTTGTAGGCAAGCTCATCTGATTGAAATTGTTATAACACGTACATATGATGTGTCATAAGAAAAGTTTTTAAAGGTATTTTCTTTGATATGTTCTCTTGTTTTCTTTCTTTACTATTTTCTTTTCTTTGATGTAATAACTCATGTATTTTTCCAACTAAGATATGTTACCTATTGGTATATTCCTTTAATATCTGTTGTATATATACCTGTTGTTTTTATATTGTGGTGAGTGAAGTTATAGAGGGAAGTGTGATAAAAGAAAACATAATAAAACACATATACACATCAACTTTATTATCGAACATAATAGAAACCTCAATGTGAGCAAAGTTCCAGATCGAAATTTGAAACTTTGATTCTACCGCAAAAATAGAATACCGCTGAAAAATTATAATAAAATGTCGCAATCTCAGCTAAATTGCAATTTGCATCCATATTCTCTTCGGCTTTCTCTAATCTATACATCTTCTAGTTGTGAAGAAAATTTCAGCTTAAAAGCTTTTAAGATTTCTTCACTAGTGTTTTAGTTTTTAATTAGTCTGATATCAACGACTATAATCTTCGATGATGCACATCTCTAATATTAAACTTTTCATAATTTTATAAAAATCTAATCATTGTCAAAATATGCAGGAAAATAGTTAAGAATGTTTTTCTTTATTCGTACGAATTCTAAGTTCGATCTCAAACTTTAAATAAATAAATAAATCTATTTATCGCTTACATCTTTAATTGATTTAATAGCATCTTTAAGATCTCTACTGTATGCTTGTTGTTGTTTAAAAATATTTCCAATCATTTTACTTAATAATACTTTATTATGAATTGCATATAATGAACATATATCAAATAAACGAGGAATATCGAATATATAATTATCATAAATAACATGGCCAAATCCTTCTGGTGTAAAGAAATTTTCCTATATTATTCATCAAAAATAAAATTTAAGAACAGAAAAAAACCAGCAAGAACTAAAAATTTAAACATACAGATGATTCTTTATGTGTAGAAAGTCTAAGAATACACATGAACATTAAACGAGAAATATTTTCTTCTAATTCTTTATTATTTAAAATAGACGAATAATTATTTATTGAAATAGTTCGTTGTGGTCTAAAAAAGATAATTTTTGTTGAAAATAAGTAAAAATTTCAAAGAAATATTTACCGTGGTGCATAGCGTAGATAAGAATCAAGCATTGAATGAAAATCTCTATTAAAAGCAACCTAAAATAAATAATTATACTGAATAAAAAAAGAACAGTTTTTTTTTTAATTGATACAAACTTCACACCAAAATTTTGTATGATTTTGTTGTAATAACCATGTTAAATCATCACATATAAATGTCATTCGTTCAATCCATTGTTCAATAGCTCCATCATCTTCAATATTTGTTGGTAATGGAATATATGTTACAAAATAATGTTGATCGATACCAGATAGATGCTATATAGATAATAGAAAATATGAACAAGATGAATTATTTTCTTTTTAAATTTACCAAAACAGAAATACGTTCTTCAATAATGCCTTTTTTCTCGATTTTATATTGTTGATCCAGTGGAACAGCCATTTTTTACTTGTAATTTCAATATCACTAAATTATATACATCGGTTTTTCACCTATACTTTTTCAGCACACGAAATATGCTTTGCCATTGACCAATAAAAATTCATCATCTAAACTCTATCCTACAATGAACTAATTTTCCCATGAAACTAATATTACAAATTTTCATTTAAAAAATAAATTGAACATTATTTTCTATTCATTAAATTAATTCTAACACAAGTGCATAAATGCTTTAATAAAACATATTCAACGACAACCAATCATAACTTTTTTCATTCTACGTTATGTATTTGTAGTTTTGTTTATGGTATTGTTTACATAGATTTTTGGACATGTGCCGTATCAACATACAAACATCTAGTTAATGTATAAAAGACGAAAAAAGAAAATCTAATCATTCATTAGTCATATATTCACATACAAATCACTTATATTTTCTATATATTTCAATTAATAAATATAGTCCTTGGTTCAATATTCACATCATTAGTAAGTATAAGTATATTCAAAAAAACAAATTATTTCTTCATTAGATACTCAAATAGTCATGAAAATTTATCATCAATTTTTATCATTGAATTTCAACATAAAAAAAAAAGAAGACTAATGATGAAAAGTTTTAGTTACTTATCGAATGAATCTATCTATGCATGTATTTCATGTTCTTCTCCGTTTTTTTTAATGTATGTCGGCTGTTGCTGTCTGTCTACATGCGTCCGAGCACATCAAGCGAATAAATACAAAGGCAAGAATAGTCGTTCGACGATAAGAAGAAAAAGAGAAAAAACTGCACATTGGTTACATTTACTTTTTTCTGCTTCTTTCTCTTCGTCGACATCAGAATGATTTGACAAAAGGAGAATAGACACAAGATAGAGAAAAAAAAGGAAGATTCTGAAAACGAGTCACAGCTGGTTATTAGTTTTAATGTAAAACTATAATTTAAACCTTAATATTCAAATGAAAAACAAATGTTTTAATTGATAAAAAAAATAGTTTCATCGTTGTCAGTTAAAAACTGAACGGAAAGAACACATTTTCAATAGAGTGCACTATTGTGTTCTTTTCTTTGCGTTGTCAAATCTTTTCCTTCCTACATCGTTGCTCTCATCCAATCAAAATGCAATTCAACGTAGGTCAGGCATGCCTTACACACACGCATGATGCCCGAGATTGTCATTAATATAAATATATATATATACATGTAGACGATAGCTACCACCGCTGACGAGCTCGAACGAAGAGAAAACAACACAAGTTAAAGAAAAGAAGAAAAAAAACGACTATCGAACTAAACCTTTTGATAGATGGAAGGAACGCATAGGAGGAGAGAAAGGAAGAGGAAAGGAAGAAAGAAAAAAAAAAAGACGAGAGACTCATGCGTTTTCTCTCTCACTATACGCATATGTAGCCAAAAGACATCACTGCACTCCTGGGGTAGGCTGTTGCTGCTTTCTCTCTCTCTCTCTCTCTCGATTTCTTTTTTTTTTTCTTGTCGTTTGTTTTTGGGCAATTCTTATTCAGATAATAAGAATAATAATAAATAAAAAAAAAAGAATTTTTTTTTTCTTTTTTTTTGTTTTCTAGTTTGTGTATGACAGTCCGCATATGTTCACACCGAAGATTATTACCAATGCAGAGTGATGTTTTAAACGAACAACAACAACAACAACAACTATCGAACGATACTGATTGTTCATCTTCGTTGTCAACAACTACTGCGACAACATTAATTTATTCGGGTTTAAAATTGGTTTGTTAGATTCAATTTAAAATTATAATATTATATTTATATATATTTTTCTATCTATTTAGCATCCAAAACCACTTGTACCTACAATATCAATGCCCGGCGTGGCAAGTCCATTATCAATTGTTAAAAAATTATCACTCCGTATGTTTATTTTGTTTCAATAAACATTTATTTTTCATTTTTTTTTGTATAGCTGATTCACATCTAGACAATTCAAATAATAATGTTCGACATGCATCATCATCAAATCCTACAACAACAACAACAACACCATCATCTATTCGTCTTGTTACATCAACAGGTAAATCATCACCGCCAACAAATTTACAATTTCAATTAACTGATAAATCATCATCATCAACAACAACAAATGGAGGTTTTTCAACATCAAAAACTTATATATTAAATCCTCAACAGAGCAGTACAACAACAGTAAATAAACAACAAATACTTACAAATTCAACATCATCATCATCTTTATTAACATTAATACCACCAGGTACAACATCACCGAAAATTCAAACATTAAATAGTGTTACAATATCATCAACAAATGATATATCAACAACAACTGATAAATTATCATCATCAAATACAAATCAATCGGTTTTTCTATCAAAAAATCGTGTTACACTTGTACAACCATTAATAACAAATACAACACCATCATCATCATCATCATCAACAACGACAACAACAACAAATTCATCAAATAATGTTAAACAAACGAATAATGTTACACCTAAATTAGTTATTCAACAAAATACAAATTCATCAACAACAAATGCAAATTTTTGGCAACAACAACAACAAACACAAGCTACAAAAATTTGTAAGTATTTAAATAAATTATTTTTCTTAAAATAAAAAAATTTCTTTTTTTGTAGTTTCGATACCACCATCATCTATTCTACCGACAGGTATTTTATTCAATTATCATTAGTTTTTAGTTATCTAATAATATTTGTAACATGATCTTTAACAAAAAAAAGAAATCAATTTCAATTCGAAATATAAAATATATATATACTTTTTTTAAGAGGAAGTTTATTGGATTTAAAGAATCAATCAATTACTTTTATATTAAAGTATATCGATAGATGCACAATAACGAAAAGTTAGGCATTTGTTTTTTTTTTTGTATAGGTGAAAATAATCGTTTATCAAAAAAATTAAAATAGATAAATTTATTTTCTATTTTACTTAAAAGAAATATTTTCAAATATGATTGTATCAATCTTTTCGTAAAATTTTTAATAAAATAAAACATAATCTTAATATGTTTAATATCATAATATAAAAATGAAGTTAATTAATATTAGACATTTATTTTGTTATGAAATTCTTAATTCTCATTTATGTTGATATTTACTTTCCATTGATTTTAGTTGAGGTTATTAAGGATTTCATATAATTCTTATGATAAGAAAGAGGATTATATCTTCAATTGATATTAGAATTTATTATCAGTCAATTTCGAAAAAAAAAACCCGAGATTCGTAAGCAACAATAATTTACACCAATCGTCCTAACATCGTCGATCATTGATAATGTATCATTGTTGATTAGTCCTGCTATATAATTCGTATAGGAAGGCATCAATGACTTCACTTATGTTTATTTTGATTGGGTAAGCGTGTCTCAAGCGTATATATATTAGTCAATTCTCATAATTATCCTTACTCAGATATCAGTTTTTCATAGATATGTCGTTCATTTGAAACAGTCTAAAACAAACATTTCTGTCAAATAGAAATATCTTAGCGAAAATATGTTTATTTTGGTTCAAACTTTAACTATAAGATCTACCTTTTACACAAAATTTCAGCTCAAAATTCTATTATTCCAGTTTTATTCATTTTCATTGTTCACCATGACCGATTGAACGGCAATACTCTCAAGCGATTGAACAGTTAGGAACGTTTCTTCCTCTTAAGTATTACTTTAATTCAATTGGTAACGATATTGTATAGAATGCTTCTAAGATTATTGATGATGACCGAATTTCCTATGACTTTATAATAATATTTCGAGAATTGAAGGTTAATTCCAACATAGATTGGTATTTTCCAAGTGTTCTGAATTTTTCATATCGCTGAATAGAGATATGCAGGATAGGATACGGATACGAAATAAAACTCATCCTTTACATCTCTATCGTTGAACAATGTAAAATTAATCTAAATTTGATAAAACATACAATGAAACTTTAATTCATTCAATTAATAATTTCTATTAAACAAAATGATCTTTTGCTTTTTTTTTATAGCTAAAATGCTTTCTCGACCAGTACAATTAATTCCAACATCAATATCATCATCCGAACATCATCCTCATCATCATATAACACATATTAAAAATGAAAAAAATGATAATACAAATTCTTATCCAATTAGTATGCATTTTGGTTTATCATCACCAACAACAAATGAAAATCCTTTAACACCATTAAATGTTCAAGTTCCACATCAACATTCATATTCAACAAAAAATTTTGATTCTTCTGGACATCAAGCTTATATTCATATGCAATTATTACCATCAACATCAAATTCCGAATCAATAAATTCATCACAACAATCAGTTCAATTTACACTTCCAACAACACATATTTATTCATCATCACCATCATCTGTTCTTATATCAACAACACAACGTTCAATGGATCATAATAATAATCATCAATCAACAACAACAATAACAACACCAATTATTCGTGAAATGCAAACCGATGAAAAATTAAATGATTCAACAATAATTAAAAATTGTAAAATTAAATCAAAAAAAATATTTTAATTTTAAAATCTACTTTTGTTTTTTTTATAGTTCATCATAATAAAATTTCAACGAAAAATCGAACA